ATTTGTTTAATTTAAATAAACACTGCTTTTGAACGAATAAGATTACGATTAAACGAGGAGAAGGAGAGAATAATTTCCAAGCGTTTGAAAATTTTTTAATGTCTCAAAAACAAAAATAACGTTAGTTAACGTGTAAACAATATTTTAAAAGTAACCATTCTATCGTGGCTCTACTATAAACGAAATGTAAATAAAAAAACAGATTTTGGATTTTTATTTTCTTGTCTCGAAGCCGCCGTAAAGACGAGACCATCTCGTTTTCAGCGCTGTATTACTTTCAATTATTCTGAACAAACTTTTGCTTTTACGAATTTTACATTCAATTTAATGTGCATATGAAACAAAATAAAATGCTACTACGATGTCTGTGACTTGGAATACCTTTTATATCTATTCAAGATGATAAAATACACATCAGAAATACAGCATACGAGTAAAAAATAAATAAATCAGTGGCGCTACAACCTCTTTCGGTCTTGGCCTCAGAGTTCTGATTCTGTTTCATGATTATTTTTAAATCTAATAGGCAAGTAGGTGATCAGCCTCTAGTGCCTGACACACGCCGTCCACTTTTTGGGTCTAAGATTTCCGGTTTCCGCACGATGTTTTCCTTCACCGTTCGAGCAAAATGTCAATTGCGCACATAGAAAGAAAGTCCATTGGTGCACAGCCGGGGATCGAACCTACGACCTCAGGTATGAGAGTCGCACGCTGAAGCCACTAGGCCAATACTGCTCGAGTTTGTACGAGTATACAAACAGAAATACAAGTTATAATAAGAGAATTCTCCTTAAATTGCTTCATAGATGTAAAATAAAATGTTATTCACAGCAGAGACCATAAAACTCCCAGGTCACAAAAACATACCGCTAAAGATACCTTGACATATTTAAGTAACATCTGGAAGGAAAGGAAGGACCAAACATTGATTAAAATTATTTGAAATGGGGCTTAAAAGCGGAATAGTTACGCCGAATATATTGCATGCAAAGAGACTATGGCTGAATTTAGTCTCACGCTCACCGTCAGCGCTCATAGATCAGCGCGTAGTTCGTCAGCGCTGACGCTCAGCGTGGTTCGTTTTAGTATCGTATTGACCGCCTAACTGTACAGACGAAGACCAAAATGAGGAGTGTATTAGTTATTGCTGCTTTGTACTAGCTATCTCAATAAAATAAAAACCGGCGACGACGACGACTCTATGTTCATCCATTGACTGAGCAGAGAGCCGTTGCAGGAGACTCTCCTAAAATATTTTCGAACAATGTGTCGACAATGTCCTCCCAGGCTTTGTTTCTTGCATCTTTATTTTTGTAGAGTGGATCGGATGCATCCCACAATTTCTTCCTCGTCGATAACTCGACCTGTAGCCACTTCGCGATTTGCCATGACTGTACACGCTGACGACGTCTCTCTGCTCAGTCAATGGATGAACATAGAGTCTTCGTCATCGCCGGTTTTTATTTTATTGAGTTAGGTAGTACAAAGCAGCAATACTAATACACTCCGCATTTTGGTCTTCGTCTGTACAGTAAGGCGGTCAGTACGATACTAAAACGAACCGCGCTGAGCGTCAGCGCTGACGAACTACGCGCTGATCTATGAGCGCTGACGGTGAGCGTGAGACTAAATTCAGCCTTAGACACTACAACGCTCACTGAAAGCAGAGGCGCTCTAGCGATCGTCAGCGCTGACCACCGTGCGCGCTTATAGCTACGCGTCATTCAAAAACGCTTTCTAGAAGTTCATATATCTCGACCATCAGTGCCGACGGTGCGCGTGCGGCCGGCGTGACACTAAATTCAGCCTATAGTTTTAACAACGTTTATGAAAAAAAAAATTTAAAATGTTAAAATTACACAGTTGATATCTTTTATGATGTAACACAGGTATTAAATTCTTGTAAAAGTGTAAAATAACTGTAACATATGTAGTTTCGTTATCATTCACCCGTTAAGTTACTAAAAATGCAAATAACTTTTGCTGAAAAATTATTTGCACTACTGTCATTTAAATACCTCAGAATATATATTTCGAATTCCCTTAACCATTATAACAAAGTCATTTTTAGTTTTTAATATCATTTTTCCAAGTTATAAAGCCGTGTTTCAAAACCACAAAGGGAGCAAAATAATGAATTTCAATGGGCGAGGTTCTTTTGGTAAACAATGAGAACCTTTTAACACGTACTTTATTTTTCTCGTTTATTTCTTTAATATATTCAGCTTGTTTGGTATTCTACATTAGAAGGTTTTTTACTAATATACTGGAATTACGCTCGTTTCTTTACTTCAGATTTAATACAAAATATATGCGATTTAAATGAACGTTTCCTTATCAAAACTTTCTATTATTTACATCGATTCAGCTCTGAATTACTAGGTTGCATAGATTCCTAAGAAGATTTCTGTACCTGTTTCGTTGTTAACTTTACTTCCGCTACGCTACGCTATCCGTGCTTGCTTCACGCTGTCGGTTTAAAATATGCCGGGTTCCTGACCTGGCCATCGCTGGATAGCGGAACCTTCAGTATTGAGAAACGCACGCTTAGATTGATAGCTAACCCTGCTTAATTTACATTTGTAAACTCCAAAATACGCTAAAAAAATACTCACAAAGTAACCATAAACGGAAAATTAAATTAACTCGACCGATAAAAAGAATTACTTTACAAAACAGTTTCAGATCTCGCTTCGACTTTGCCCTTTTATCCACATAATTAAATCTTAATCGAATTTTCTCAATTCCATGAAAGGGAAAAAGGTAAATTACACCAAGTTCTTTTAAATAAGTTTAACTAATATTTAAACTTTGCAGTTTGCGAAAAATTAATTTATGAATATTATAGTAGGCATGTTTAGATATCTATAGTAACTATATGCGTGTATATCTAATATATTAAATTCTCGTGTCGCGGTGTTTGTGGTTAAACTCCTCCGAAACGGCTTGACCGATTCTCATGAAATTTTGTGTGCATATTGGGTATAACTGAGAATCGGAAAACATCTATTTTTCATCCCCCTAAATGTTAAGGGTAGTCTACCCCTAATTTTTTATTTTTAGATAATTTTTTTTTTGATACAGCATTAAAAAATACATACAACCCCTAATTTTCACCCCTCTACGATCAACCCCTATTTTTTATTATAAATGATAAACATGGCAAAACGATGTTTGCCGGATCAGCTAGTATAATATATGTCTGTTCTAAATCAAATGTTTTGGAGTGATTATAATATTCAAGAAACCGCATGCCTTACAATAAAAAAAACCAGTCGCGCTATAACTTTTAAGGACTAGGCCTCACCTTTCTGAATCTTTTTCGTTATTTCTAATAGATCAGCCTTCTGTGGCTGACACACGCCGTCGACTTTTGTGCCCAAGGTATTCCGGTTTCTTCACGATGTATCCAACACTTGTATTCCAACACTGCGCACAATAATTCGACTTAGGGTCCTGCAAGAAAAGAGCGTACCAATTCTTGAAAGGCCGGCAACGCACTTGCGAGCCTTCTGGCATTGTGAGTGTCCATGGGCGGCGGTATCACTTAACATCAGATGAGCCTCCTGCCCGTTTGCCTCCTATTACATAAAAAAAACTTTACTTACTTACTTAACGAACTTATATTAACAAATAACATAACTGAAACGGCCCTGAAATAGGCGTTCATTAACCTGCCAAGCGTCAGTGCTCGAATACTCACTACCACATATCTACATTTTTAATACAAGCCCAAAGACGTTCCAAATACACCAGATTAGAAGTACTCCCAAACCAACTAAGGCGTCTTAAGAAAAGTGTATAAACGGGAAATTACATCGCACCGACGTCAATCGAAGTTGGAGCTTGATTAATCCTTAGAGGCAGAAGATTGTTCTGCTTTAATTATCTCAATCGGCGAATTGCCAAACGCTACATGCAGTACTTACGGATACAAGGCAATTGTTACAGTTTACTACATACGTTGATTAACTAAATTTTGTATCCTTATCAGCGATTAAGAGTGCAGCCCCTGTGATGTTATGGAGAATGAGACATATACAGACAGTCCTCGTACTTACGGCATGGGGGAATTAGGTTCTCGAAATACGCGACGTAAATCGAGACATTTTTTTCGTATGTTTACATGTGAAAGTCAAGGGTTAGGTTCCACAAGGACTCGAAATTAAAAAAAACTGCATTTATAACAAAGGATATACATACTTTATTATCAAAAGTAAGTTCTTAAAATAATTATATATGCACTTATGAAATTGCTAGTTATTTTTGGTATTTGTGTGTTAATTATTTTAATAATAATAAAACTTTAATATGTAATGAGAAATAATAAATTAAACTTTTGGCTTAAAGAAACTATCAATTCTAGATTGCTTCGCTTCTTTCTACATACAGATCTTGGTAACACTGATAGGCTGCACAAACTTTGTTATCTACGTTGAAAATTAGGATCATTTTCTTCAAAAATTTTCATGGCATTCTCCAAATTTGGACAAGACTCGTCACAAGAATTCTCTTATGACGGAAATCGAAACAAATGACGTATGCTTGAGAAATAGTGTCAAAACATTGTTCGACGTAACTTGAAACGACGTAAGTCGAGGACTGCCTGTAATATTTTTTGACACAGTCTTGTAATATTGATTTACACCAGCTTGAGTACACGAATTCTTTACAGTATAATAAATAAAACAATTGAACAAAGTTGTACATTTTAGAATGAGGAAAGAAATTGAATCTCTAGGGGCCTTACTGCGCTTCCCTGTTAAGGCATTTTAATAAAATTAATTGTAACATAGCATCATAGTCACGAGTGGTATTATATAAAAAGCGAAACATTCTATGAGCCTGAAAGTAAATGGATGACGGATATATATCATACATAAGCAGTTAATGATCTCCAGGTCGTACCTGACAGTTTTCTGTATTATGTACCTATATTTAAGTTTGTTAAACGTTCAAATATAAAAGGAAGGTGAAGCTTGAAACTATCGTTAATTACTATGTTACTCGTTACTATTAAGTATAAGGTAAGAAGTAATGTTGCCTAGCATTAATACATTTACTGATGATATTCAATATATTTATCGTTTCCCCACATTCAAGAATACGATGAAAAGATATAAAAACTCAATAGTTATATAGTATACAATGTTGTTCACGTATTCTGAACTATAAAGGTTAATATGATATAAAAATAAAGTGCATTCCAAGTTAATAGGATTTACTTTCCACAGGGCGTTCCTCAGAATACTGTGTGTGTGCTGCCCGAGAAAACTGCGAAGAAAATACCAACCGCAACTACGCTTCAAGCAATCTCAGGTAATTTTAAAATAGACCCCTGCATAAAGTATTAGACATTTATTTTTATCTTGGGACTGAAAGCCATTCATTCTTAATAACACGTGGCCTCCTACAGAATAGTATTATTCTGTGCTGTAAAACTACTTTGCTCATGCATTTGTGTCGCGTCCTTGACAGTGACACATAACAGTTTTTATTAAGGAAAATTATGTTAGTTTTACTCGAAATCATTCTATATTCAAACCCGTTAATAAAAAAACTATCTTTGTCTCAGACTGTTTTTAACGAAAGCTCTAATAATTTACTTTGTTTACGCGAATTGAAAAACTTTAAAAATTCGATTCCCCCGGGGGGGGCCTTAATTTCCTTGGGGTGTTTTTGGGGGGGGGGGGGGGGCCCCCCCCCCTCTTCTTTTGGGGGGGGGGGGGGGGGTTCGGCCCCCTCCCCCCCCCTTTTTTTTTTTTTGTTAAAATTTGGGTTTCCCCTTTTCCCCCCCAACGCTCACTGCAACTGCTTCCTAACGCTCAACATTTCATTTACTTTGTTTTTACGCGATTCTGTGTTATTGAGTTCTCCGAGCTCAAAAGATACCTTCTTGCGCTTTTACGAGGGGGGGAAAAACTTTAAAAATTCGATTCTCGCTAACCACAAACGCTGAAAAATTGAGTTTTGTAAATTGTCATAAATTTGGTTAGTTTTATTAAAATAAAGAATTCATTCATTTCTGTCATAGATGTTTTTAAAAGATTAAAACAGTATAATAAGTTAATATTGTAGTAAAGTCACGAATGACAATTTTTTCTACGTATAACAAGTTAAAGACACTTAACACGCACATTCTATACGACCCGCATTTATTATGCGAGAAATGTAAACAAAAGTCTCTAGAAAGCAAATTACACGTCAAATTGGACGACCTTATTTTTCGTCTAGTTTGTTGAGGATTTACAAAAAAGATTTACAATTGCTTATCAGAAGTTTTACAAATATACGCATAACATCATAAATAAACATACAAATAATAATCTGCTTCTGAACTGTGAAAAGCAGGTTTTTTCATCACGATTTAAGTAGGTTGTATTCTACTTTCAGTGGCGTACAACAAGACGGTATTATTCGTCGGGTGAACTGCAAGCGATCAGGCAGAATTCTTGTGAACAAACTTATATATAGCGATATCCCAACCTCTATAAGTGCCTTTTCTGGAATATTCTCGACACTCGAATCTATTGTTTTGGATATCTAGTTGGTTCAAATTGAGGTACGTGAACTCCCTTGAATTTCGGCATTTCTTTAATGTAATCCTTCCCTTGCATGGTAACCGTGTGGTCTTTGTTCGAGCTTTGACACCAATGAGATGTTTTCCTCTTTCTAAGCACTTACTCAAAAAAGGTTTACCCTTAAATCTATTCTAATCTGTGGTGAAATGTGTCTTTATATTGTCTGTGGCGTTTTGATGTCCTACGCTTGAGTTATCCTCTTGTCTTACCTTTCCATGTATTATCTATATCAGTAAAATATATGGGTCGAAAGATGTCTCTTGGAAATTGTGACCTCAACCTCATTTTGCTTTTTTTTGCTTTAAAAGTACGTAAAAAATAAAGAAACCGAGAACTCCGCTTTACGTGTGGAAACGGTCAATACTTTTATACTTAACCCTAAAGTATTAAGTCTGTACGAATTACGATATTGATTAAAAACATTGGACAAAGAAAAGTTATTTTTCTTCGAACTTTTCTTTTACCATTCAGAGCCTCTGAAAACGAAAAAGTTTTAAAACCCACAAGTTTTGATGTGATCTTAGATTAATGCAGATGCGACACACATAAAGTACTTTTTATATTAAATACTAGTTGTGTATGTTGTGTAGTAGATATACAATTAAACTTAACCTTACACTTAAAATTCGATATTCTGTTCGGAATTGGTATTGGAAATTGCGTGGTAGTGAAATCAATTTATGATATGAACATTCCTAACATCATACTGGATCAAATGAAATCCATGTTGAAATATGCATCTTATAGTGGCACTGACCGAGTTCGGACTCTAGAGATACAAAATCACAACAATGTGTCGGATTGAACGACACAGACTTGTTTAGTCTTGTGCTAAATTGGCGGGCGTGTGAAGTGTACCTGCACTTAGCTTGCATTCGGAAATTAAGGCGTATTCTTGGTCAGTGTTAGAATAGACTTCATATTGATTCTGGGTTAAATAAATACTAAGAGCACCCTAAGCAAGAGCTCAGGGCAATACATACGTTTCTATTTATCTCACTAAAATCGTAATAAGGCAAGCCTAATCCTGATTCATAGTCGAGTCTTAGCGCTAAGTATTACTCCCGTAAGTCAAAAACTAAGTCTCGGTTCTGAATCTTATCCTATGTAAGCTTAATAAATATCCTCCTTACACCACTGTTTAATACTCGCAAAACTTATTACATATTGGCTGTGGTGGGCTACTGAATCAGTGATAAAGTACCACTTATCATGCATATCCTAAGCAGCTATTCAGCAAAGAATCAGCACAAATTCAAATTTAAAATTATTTATTCATTTAGGCAACATAATATACACTTATCAACGTCAATGAAGAAATACAACGGACGAGAACTGTCAATAAACTCTCCGCCACTCTTTTTAATCGCCAAGTTTTTTGTTTCACGTTTGTAAGGAGAAGCTGGCTGCGCCATGTTCTTCATAGCATCTTTAAGTAATTAAGTATAATATTAATAAATAAATATATAAACGAAAAAAAAAAAACAAAGATTTGTCCTCTATCAGCATATGGTGAAATAGGAGCACGCACTTACATTCTCGTGGGAACAACACGCAAATACATAGTCGAATAACTAACATCACCGAATACACGAATTCAAGACCGACCAGTCACCACAAGTAGCACCCGTTCACGGGTATGACGCATGGCCAGCCATCGGCGCCCTCACCATATTTTAGGGAGAGAGACAACCCGACGAATGACAGACAGCCTTATGTATTTTTATCTAATAATATTAATATTATTGTTATGTTTTTAAGATTTTGTAAGTTAATTTTAAAATCACGTTCGTTGAAGGACACCCACGCTCGCGAACACGTCTCATGAAAATTTAGTGGAAAAATTGTTGGCGCGCGCTACAGAATATATTGGACAAGAAATATTTCGAGGCAAATAGTTTTAGCTCAGAATGAATATTAGACATTTTGTACGTACATATTTTTTTCAGTTCCTCTCATTATACTCACCTATCTATAATAATTAATAAAACAATAATTACGATTATTAGTTAAGAATTCTATAATAATGAACACATATTACTTTCTATTTTTAATCTAAAAAAACTAATTTATTTAAAAATTCTTCTTAATGGTGTGTTTTAAAGTGTCTTATCATTATGTTCGTGTTTGTGAATCAATCAGTCACTTTGCGTGGACATTAAAACAATAGAAAAATAGTGTAAACAAAAAATAAAACCATTAATGTTTTTCTCTTACTTTAAAACGAAGCAGTAAATTTAGATGTGATTTTCGAGACGAATAGTATAAATTAATTAATGTACTGTACTTGCTGAAAAATCTCATTTGATAAATTGCATTTCAACAGTCGTAAAGTCCGAAAGACTTGACATCCTTCCAACAATCTCAAGTTACCCACATACGTAAGCTATTCATTATTCATGAAGTCTTCTACCACTTAGGAATACTTTTAAAAATATCTGCGTTTATACCGAAGTGTGGTTTGTGATAACTGACAACACCATAATATGGTCTATAGTGTGTGAAATCTAGGATTCGATTTGCGTACGAACAGTCGAACAACCTCCTAGTAAGGCGAAGCAAACTGCCGTGCGATTCTGTTAATGCGTGAGTTCACCTCGCACTAACAAGGCTCCCTTCGTCACTCACGTCATTTTTGGAATCTCATGTGTATTCTGTTAAGCAATTTCACATTACGTCTTGACAAGCGGAGGGAGCTTGTAGTTTATTATTTATCAGAATGCCAAATCGTAAAATGACTGCTTCACGACTGATTTCAGCGCGACCGCCGATGTGAGAGCTGTGAGAGTTCGAAACGAGAGTTACGGAATCGTATGGCTGATCAGAAAACACCTACTTGCCTAGAATAAAAAATAATCAATGTCAACTGTTGACACTATCCAGAAATATACAAATGAGGAGTGACATAATATTATCTTTTATATCTATTTATAAGAATCCTATTTATTTTTATTCTTTTTGCCTCGTGTTAACATTGCTTTTATTCGAGAAATGTTTAGAATACAATTGTGATTATAACATTTAGTCCTATTCGTTTCTTTCTTTGATTTGTTTGTTTCGAAAAAAAATATTATCCCGTATAGAGTCCAGACTATACATACTTGAAACTGGTCAGTGGGTTGACATATTTTAATATCTATTCGTTGACTTTTTATGTTGTAGTTTTCACTATTTTTTAAATATTTATCTAAGCACAAGCTATTTAGATGAATATGACTGTACAACGAGGTACACGAGCAGGAAAGATATATTTTGTTCACAAACGGGTATCTAAAGATTTCATACCTAAAATAACAGCTACACATACAATTTATAATTTATTCAATTCTAAATTTAAATTTCCTTTTCCAGTACCCCGTAACAACAATGATGTACTCATCCGTATCACAGCACGAGATGTGCCGTTTGTGACAGCAAACAAGGGCGGGAACCTGCAGACCACGTGCCAGATGTTCCTGCCGGGATCGTCGTACCGCGCGTAATGGCGACAGATACCCCCAAGAACTCGACCCTATCACCAGCATACAATGTGACAAATTATACCCAGATTCAGAATCTGTTAGCGAAGTAAGTCTAGACAGTGAGAGCCGCAATCATTCATTAAAACGTAAGTTAAGTAAGCGTGTAACTTACCAAATCAAAGCTGATGTCTCAAGTTAACTATTAGACGTAGATTGTAAATATATTCACATTGGCATTTGATATTCTAATATATATGTATGTTGATCATTGAAATTTAAAATTGGTAGCTCTTGTTAAGCAACCAGGCAAGAATTATATAAACATCCCTAGTAATTTGTAGTCATGCCGAGTGATCTCTAGTCATTCCTAGTCTTCTCTAGTCATTCCTAGTCATTCCTAGTCATCTCTAGTCATGCCTAGACACTTCACGTGACTATAATCTTCCTTTATTCTCAATCAGGAGCTGTGATTTACTATTAGCTATGTACATAGTCATTTTCAGTGTTTTCTATGAATATTAAAATTGTATAGTACTTAATGCTCCTATAATCCCAAAAATATATATTACCTAATAACTCAATTGTAATATAAATTATTTTTTACACATTCCAAATTATTTAAACGTTATTTGTGTGTTATATTTACACTATATAAATGGATAATTTACTATTCATAATCAGAACGCGCACAGTTTTGATCGGAACAAAATGTAACGAAATTAAAATATTCTGATTATGAATTATGCGATAGAAATGATAATAATAACTAAAACCATATTATTTTTTAATATAAAACATTAAATGCTGCATATTTTTGTACTACACATTATTTTTGTTATATGTGAAGGATCCATTTATAGTATGTAAATGGAAACTAGAGAAATTGTATATAAGCAAGTCTCGTAATGTTTAACTGTTTTATAATCTTATACCATTATAACAGCAGTTTACTCTTCGGAAACTAATAAATATTACTCTTAAGACAAACCTTAACTAATATGTATCCGGATAGATTTTATTTAAAACTTAAAACCTTTTATGTGGTTGCTATACACTCATTAGAACTAAAAAACATTTGTTTTATCTGTGGTATTGTTTGTAATGAGTAAAAGTTTTGTATAGTCCTTTTCACGAAAGAAGTCCCCCAGACGCGGCGCTGCAATCGCATGACGTAATGTTGCCATTTATGAGTAAAAAATTTACCTATTTTATTTACATTTAGCAGATGTAATTTATCAAATAATACTATTTTCTGCGTACTTCGATGAAACAATATATCTGTTATGTAAAAAGTATATTTTTATTTACTTATATTGCGGTGTTCTACCTACTTACAGGGAAAAGATAAGAAAATAGGGTAAAGAAAAGCAATACAATTGTTTATTCAGAGTTTTATTGCATAATTGTGATCAACGGCCATAGGGACATCACTGTCCGAAGAGTGTATTGAAACAGAATCAGATTCTGTTTCAGTATCACTAGCATTGATATAATTATTCGGTCCATCACTTCATCCATAAGGCCGTCATTTTTTAAATATTCCTCCTCTAAATGTTCGACATGCGAGCACTGAGCTGTCAATCTTCAGCCGTAATAGACTCAAAGGCCTCTTTTAGTTAATTTTAATATTTCTTTTGGATCTTGTGCCACGTTCTTATCCGCCACCTTTCTTTTACAAGGCTCCAGATATTCTCAATCGGGTTGAGGTCACAATGGTAAGGCGGCAACCTTAATACTTCGTGTCCGTGAGCTGTTAATAATTCATCCACTGCAAATATCGGTGGACCTTTATTTTGTTTTGATTAGCTCATACAGCACAACTTTTGTCCAGGTGTCTTCAAAATATATACCCTTTTGCCGGAGCCACTCTTGCATACTACTTTTTATATTTGACATAGAAGGGGCTTTGTTTAATTGAGTGCAATGGTAAGGAGCGTTATCCATTACCACAAGCGACCTTTCAGGTAGATTAGGTATTAGTTTTTCCGTCACCCATTTTAAGAAATTTGCTGAGTTCATGTCATCGTGGTAATCTGAGGACTTTGATTGGGATTTGAACATTAATAATGCACCATTTATGAATCCATCTTTTTGTTCCCGCATGAGCGATTATCCAGCGACTCCCTGATGATTCTGAGACGAACATTCCTGGCTCCTCCTCACTCTGCCAACAACGTTTTGTATGATAAGTATTGTGTATATAGGTCTCATCTAAGTATACAACTGGTCGTTTTTCCACAGTGCGATTTATTCGTATTTTATTCAAATATCTTGCACGCCATGCGGTAATGTCGTGGCGTTCCATAAGTAGTTTTCGTCTGGATTGACATCGCTTGTACTTGAAACCAATTCTATTTAATATCCTGTGCAATGTTGTGATGCTTCCCTGATAATTGATGTCCTCTCGCAGAGCTGCCCGTAATTTAACCAATGTTGGTAATTTCTTTATGTACGACGTAAAAACTGTAAATTTTTTGCCGGATAGCGCACAAATCGAACCCGTCTAAGTCGAACTTTTCGGATGCGGGCGACTCTTCCCCGGGGTTACAATTTTTTTTGAAGTACACGCCGCTGTTACACCTTCGTTTGTAATTCTTGATACAGTTTTCTCTGACACACCTGCAATTAAATTATGAACAATTAAAAATAATAGTAACTTTAAGTTTATAATGCTTATGTAATATATGTTTTAATTTCAGTTACCTAGTTTCATCACGTTATGTATTTGTTCAATTTTGTCGTAAAAACGAATTTATATTATCATAAAACTCCCATCAATACAGCAAAAAATTATTAAATGGCAACTCTAAAAAAGTACCTGTTATGGCGGCAACTCTCTTCCGAACATTGTTTAGTGGTATTAAAACACCTTTATTCTTTTGTTCCGCTTCACAGAACTCTTTCACCTTTAATATCAATTCTCGAGCCGAACTTTTTACAACTTTTGGCATTGTAATCAATATTTAAAATGCACTAAGATAGTTAAAAATTCACAAAAATCTACCACAACAAACGAACTTGATAACATCGACGAATGACAACATTGCCGACCTGTCAAATTTAGTTCCAAAAATATCCGCGGGACTTCTTTCATGAAAAGCACTATACATTACATTTCGAGTTGAAAATTCAAATGTGGAACAATATCCCGCGCTATTTTTAATGACGTTGACATATGTGATGCTATGTTCTAATATAAAAATAAAGTCTAAAGTGAAACTTCTTTATGATCTTATTTTTCGAAAAATGATCTACTATATGCAACTTTACAGAAATTCGTTAAATTAGATTATTTATTATCATAGACATGAATACAAATATTTCATTTTACCTTATTACTACGAAGATTATTATAGAATTTCATTAATTGTAATAGAATTATTACTATCATTGAAAAGCGTGACGATTTGCTACAAAATTTCTCCCATACGTCGATAAAGAAGTTTCATTCCAACGCCGATAAAGAAGTTTGACAGTTGACTTCAAAAAGCAACATGACGCGTAACCGAAAAATGTGACGCGTAACGAAAAAATGTTACACTAAATTTTTTTCCAACCTCGATAAAGAAGTTTCACTTCAAAAACAGTGATTGAGTATAATTTTTTAAATTGTAAAAAAACAATACTTTTTGATTTCCCGAACCGTGAAATTAATAGTAATTTAATATCTTAATGGGTTGTAAGTTTGTATAAAATATTTTTTTAAAACTTCAGTTTTTCATTTCATTATGCCCTTTTTTTATTGATTTTCTTAAACTTAACTCAAAAGGAAATGTAACTAACAAAATTAAACCATGAACCATTGATTGTGTATGTACAACAACTTAGAAAGTATTTCTAATAATTAACTTTCAAAATGAAAATATAGGCCATTTAAATTCTTCGATAAAGGTGTAGGTTAGATTCTAATCCTGAAAAGATCTATCAACGTTAAAAATGAATGTATATTCATCCAATTTCAACGCTTCTTTTCACTGTTTGATAACAGATTACTTAAGTCTCTCGATATCTTTTTAAATAAACATTTATCTTAAATTTCTATTTAAATGTCCAATTGATAACATTTTAAAGTTCCAATTGTATACTTTAAACTACAGCTTTATACAGGTCAAAAAGTTACTAAAAAGGCAAAGACATCTCTTTCCCTAATTCACCTGTTGTCATTCATTTATGCGGTTCACAAACAGAAACAATAATTATTTCCTCCTGTTATTACGTTATATTGGCTTCGGAGTTATAACGAAGAATTAAGTAATGTTTCACATATAGTATTTTGGGTAAGTTTTCGTATCACAACAAATACAACTTTTATTTACCAAGATTATTTACTACAAGAGTTTCCTATTACATTGTTTCATTTGTAATAGGTACGTGCCTGGTGAAGGTAGAAGGGTAGGGAAGAAGGGTAAGGCACTTCATCCGCTCCTATTACCAACATGGCTGTTGCTAGTCAATTATTATTGATACGCTAATCATATAATTTTCATTAGATAAAAAACGAAGTAATTTTTTTTAATAACCTTTATTATTATATTTTTTTAAAAGTGGCGGTATAACCGTCTTAGGTCTGGGCCACAGATTACTGTATCAGCTACGTGATCATTTGTTTTTTCTAATAGGCAAGTAGGTGCGGTGCAGCCTTCTGTGCCGGACTCTCGCCGTCGACTATTTGAGGATGCTGGTTTCTTCACGATGCTTACCTTCATCGTACGAGCGAGTGTTAAATGCGCATATAGACATAAAGTCCGTTAGTGCCATACTGGTAGAACCTATGACCTCAGGAGACTCGCACGCTGAAGCCAGAAGACCAACACTGCTCTATTATTATTTATTACTATATTAAAATTATTTTAAACCCAAATTAAAAATAATAAATAAAAATTACAGAACAAACATTCTCAGCAAACGTAATTAATGTCTTCAGTAATTTCTACATTTATTTTTTGTTAGGAATCCACAACATTTTCAATCCATATATACAAATTTTATGAATTTAAAATTAAAAGTAAAGTATTCCTATA